CCCCCCATTCTACATTGCATTCATTTCCTCCCCATGTCACTGCCCTTCCCTATGTCAGAGCCCCCTCCTCCATCTCACTATTTCCTTTCCTATCTCACTGTCTCCTACCCAATACTGCTGTCTCCTCTAACTGCTCTGTCTCCTCCCCCATCCTGCTGTCTCCTTTCACTATTCTGCCTCCTCCCCCATCTCCCCGCCCCCTCCCCCATCTCACTGTATCCACCCCCATCCTGCCTTCTCCTATCACTCTTCTGCCTACCCCCCTACTTTCAGCTCTGCTGTAACTGAGTCTTCAAGGTGTTACTTCTGTTTGCAGGTTGGGTTCCCAAAGTAAAACACTTGCAGGTAGAGAGTAATAGAGTCCTTTGGTTATTCAGATCTTTGGGGTCCCCCTTCCCTGGCATGCACAAGAACAAAGCTCCCTCACCCCTCCTCATTGTTCTCAGGTCACAAAGTAAATGGGCCAATAAACCATAGTATACATACAGTATATATAATGTGCCAAAACTTCAGGAAACCCAAATTAAATTGTTCAACGGTTATTTATACTGTATCTTCAATAATTATATAATATAATATGTGAATTCCTTGAAATCCCAGATGTAAGATCCTATTAAAAGTAAATACAAAACGCAGGGCCCTGTAATGTATGGATGGTGTCATTAGTGAAACTGCAATGCAAAAGCTAATAAAGTCCAAAAATTGGTGCCAACATCATAATACCAAGGTGCAGCCTTCAGGGCCGTGTTCTGCACCACCAATAAGAGGCATGAGCACCTACTGGTCCATGGGCAGGAGAGCCACACTCTGGAAAGGAAGCAATTTGCATATTAAGAGTGAACAGGTTAGAGGTCATAATCAAATGAGTCCGCCATGTTACAATAAAAAAAACTGCACAGCGTTGACTGGCTCTTTGGGTTTCACTGAAATGGATTACTTATTACTACCTGACAGCGGCTCTAACCCTTTATTCATAAAACACAGGCCTATCAGTGGTGAGTTGTATTAAACCTTAATATCGTGGTCTGTGTTGCAGGTATGGGCAATGTCTCCTCATCGACGGTGGCTGACACTATTTTGGAATCGGTGGCTCATTTTGCACAATCGCCCCAATCTATCCAAACCGTGAAAGTCGTCATTTTCCAGGAACAAATGCTGAAAGATTTCTACACCAGCATGAAGAAGAAGGAGGGGAACACTATGCTCAAAAAAGAGGGATTCGTGTCCACAATGGTGAATTGTGAGTAAGATCTTCTTATAGCATAGGTCTGCAGTATATGAATTGGGATAATTCGGCTTCAGTATGAGATACAAGGTGACCAAAGGGAAACATCTTCAGTTTTAGCTTCATAAACAACCAGCTGCCCTCACTTCTCCTAATACAGATATCGATTTGCAGTTTTTATATACTTTGGTGTAAATATCACACATGATCCAAGGATGAAACTTTGGTGAAGAGTTGCAATGTATCAAATATCTCTAAAGCCTTTCCTTATAAATAAATATTATTCTAATCCCCTGACAGCTTCAGCCCAATCTGGCCACTTTTCACTCAGATAATGAGGTATATTCATGTTTAGTTCAGGGTGTAGGACTGAGGTCTCAATGGATGAGCCTCTAAGCCCCAATTACAGGAGTGTGCCAGTCCCCCCTTTACTTTCCAGGCCCAGAACTCCCAGTTATGCAGAGCACAGATGGAACAGGATCTGTCTGAGGATGACCAAAGGCTATGGGTGGTGGCACCAGATCCACTGTTAGAGTTGTTGTCTCCAGCAGAATAGTTACATTGGACATGTGGAAGTTCCTAGACCAAAGTTGTAGAAATGTGGAAAACAATGTCCATAGTTTGTATATATTAGGAGCAGCAATGGAAAGATCCAAAATGACTGAAATCAGATTGAAATATCCACTTTTCTTCTTTCTTCAGAGTTGAGTCAGGGGGCAGGCATGATTACCTTGGTCACGTGATCTGTGCTGTCATGTGAACAAATGTCAGGAAGACATGGGGAGACATTTCCACTGGCTTGATGTTGGTATTTTATTGGAGAAAGTTGGTGGTTCACAGTGACCGGGCTCTCTGCAGAGGGTAATAAAGTATAGGAACGTCACCAGCACGACTCAGAGTAAACATCAACATAGGATGTTTACTCTGAGCCTGATTAAGGGGACCCTGTGCGGCCCCGAATACTTTATTATGCTGAATGCGGCGCCATCCACGTTCATTGCAAGCACCCTCATAGACGTTTGGGAGTTCCGGTAAGGAGTGCTACAGGTCCTTGGACTTTTGTTCTGCAGAGGGGAAGACGTGTATAGTAAAGGTGGTTGAAGTATGGAGGGGGTTGGAGGGGCTCTGGTCCAGGCTGTACATTTTCTGGCTTATCCTCTTTCATCCTGAACAGCCTTCTTCAACATTTTTCGGTGGAACGCGGAAGGCTCAGAGGGTGCCGAGGTTTTTGAATTAAGTGAAAACATTGAGCCGGCTATTATCCATCTGTGTGCGGAAAGGCGGGACGCCGTGGAAAAGGCGAAATCCTGGCTCCGCGAGCTGATAATGAAGGAGCAGAATGAGAACCTCATCACAGATGACTGGATCCGGGAATTTAATGACAAGGATCAGGAGGCCGTATTACAGCTTCAGAAGGAGTACCAAGTTAGTCTTATTTTTGACTTGCCAAATGTTACAATCAAAGTGCTGGGCCTGTCCAAGGACGTTCTGGAGGTCAGTAATAAAATCCACGACATGATAAAGACTGTGCGAGATAAGAAGACAAGAGATCGGGAGGTGGAGCTGTGCAGTAATCTGGTGGAATGGGGATACCTCAACGGAAGCAACTTTATTCCATTTGACAAAATGGTGAATCTGGACCTGGAGAAGGCAAAGAACGAGAACACACAATGTGTCGATGTTTATATCAATGGGTTGAAATACAAAGTGATTGTAGAGCTGCTAAATGCAAGAGATGCCAGAGGGAACAGCTTCAAGATTCAAAGAAATTCTAAACACGGTAAGTAACATTTTGTTTAATATATGAATGATTGCACGGCTGGAAAATCCCCGGATCTGGGCAGACAATGTACCTAAAGGGCTCGACTCTGAGTCTTCTCTATGTCTGTTGTCTTAGTAATGCCGGCAGCTCCTCATATACACTGATTCCTGATTTATTATTACATACATGTAAAATTGCTATTAGTTCAGTTATTGGTGGACAGTTTAAGGGATACGAGCCATTAGCAATCCACACAGGCTGTAAACCAGCCTCCTGAAATAAGGCTTTAATGTTCTGTGGTGAAATCAGTATTACACTCAGCGAAGCTGCACAGCTCACAACCCGATCCGACAATGCGCAACCTTCCCACAATGCTTTGTTAGCGGCTTTTCTTTTCTCTTTGATCATCTTGACATCATCATGTTATTTGTAATGATCATATAAGCCTCAGCCTTTGTGTGCTCGACATTCTACTTCAGTATCATGTATGAGACGGAGGGGCATGTCTTCTGACTTGAACCGTGAGTGCACTCCTGCAGACATACACACTCATATATGTCAGTGACACCTCACGGCCCCCAACTGTCCTACCGGAGCTGGATTCTATTATAATGAGTTAAATGTTTCTAAATCTAAGATCAAAATTGTAATATATTGCAGCTTACCAGTACTTAGACGGTGGGTGCTTTCTTCAGGATTTTTTATTTTCACTTGGTGATCCTACCAGTAACACACTTTCTGCCCGAGGGTGACTATACTCAGTCACTGCACTGTATCTATGGAGGACCAGCATTGTCATCATAGGACAGGACTACAGAGCACTTCCCCCTTGATTCTTCATTACATAGAAGGTTGTTGTTGACAGCATATGACTGCTGAGGGTTTCTATTACAGAAAAATTAGACGTCCCCACACACTGGGATCCAATGAGAAATGAAAACATGAAGGTGATCCCGTTGGCTGCTGGGAGTCAGGAGTACACTGATGTGGAGGCACAGTTCAGGAAATCCTGCCAAATGCGAATTATTAAGGTAATGATTTATTAGAGGTATCCGGTGAAAATGGACGATGTATGAGGGGTTTGGGGGTGAGGAACCGAATGATTGGATGATTGTTTATGGAACTTGTAATGAAATTATAACTAATTTGAGGTCATTGTGTTCCTGTTTTCTGAATATGTTTTGTGTTCTGTGATAAGATGTCACACATCTGGCTGATTGGATGTTCGCACTGCGACTCATTGGACTGGTAATTACTTTTGTGTCTGAGCAGATCGAGAGGATCCAGAACCGGCACCTGTGGATAAACTATCAGATAAAGAAGCAAAGTATTGATGAGAAGAACAACTCCAACACTAACGAGAAGCAACTCTTCCATGGCCTGGACCCCAATACTGTGAGCAATGTAAACCACAATGGATTTAACAGGAGCTATGCTGGAAAGAATGGTGAGTAACCACAGCTGCTAATACCTCCGACAGGGGCCCCTGTGGTCATGTAAGGACATCCACATCCAGGCAGTCCATTGCTGATAGGGGCCCCTATATCTAATGTCACATTTTGTTGACACTCTTGAAGCACAACCCTGGTGTGTCAGGTTTACACCAGAGCCAATAAATGCGGATGCTTCCCTGCTAACTGTCCAGAGTACAAACACATTGGGAATTCCCAGACAGTGACAACCAACAAGCGGGCAGGACAGGCCCACAAGAGGTACATAGTCCTCCAACAAGTGGATAGAGCAATTGCCTGTTGGCAGAAGAGACCACAGGCAGATGCACAGGCATAGTGCAGACAATTTACAGAAACTTCCAGAGTATGGTGCAGTGTGACAGAATTCAGGTAAGTAGATGAGCAGCAAGATGGAAGCTCGGCTTCAAGTTAAAGTCTGCTAATGAGGCCAGATGTGGTGACTGACGAATGTATGCACTGTAGTACAAGGGGATGTCCATAAGATGGCAGTAGAGAACAAGATGCAGCAGCTCTGTCTTCTATGTAGAATGGAGAGAGATCACCCTGTCCTCAATCTGTGACCCAGTCCAGCTAGACCATTGCTATTAGGGATCTTTATGTCCAGGTAGCCCATTGCTGTCACAGGCTCCCATCTCTATCTAAATATACAGTCCCAGACCCCCATCTAGTAACTGTGATATCCTGTATAACTGTATTTGTGCTGTACGTGTCATGTGACCATTATACACAATTCATGAAAATTGCTGGATTACATCACAGAGAAAATAATAATAATAATAATAATAATTATGTTTTGTCTTTGTGCAGCGGCCTGTTTTGGGAATGGAACGTATTTTGCAGTGAACGCCAATTATTCTGCACAGGACTTATACTCCCGGCCAGATGGGAACGGATACAAGTACATATACCTGAGCCGTGTGGTCACAGGGGTATCATGTGTTGGACATCAGGGGATGATTGCCCCCCCACCCAAGGTTGCCACAAAACCCACTGACCTGCATGACAGTGCCACAAACGATCTGACAAATCCTGTAATGTATGTGATATTCCATGACATCCAGGCCTACCCCGAGTACCTTATCACCTTTACTAAATGAGCTGATGACCCTCCCTGTATACAGATACCGGTATACGGGACTTCTATCTAAACGCAGAGTCATTGCTAAGAATTTATAATAAAGTTTTTGAAAATTAATTTCTTAGTCTTTAGAAGACATCACTCCACTAACTCTTGTTGTAGCTAAAATAAAATCAGTATTTCGGTGTTGCTGAACACTGGTGGATTTAAAATGGAGTTACTGACTGATTTATTTTTCATGTTCAGTGTTTGTCTGCTCAGTAATCTGTCACTGTATCACTTCCGGGTATTTATTACCCCCCCCTAGAGATCACAGTGCCCTCCCCCTGAAAATGTCTTAATCTAAATTTCTCTCCAAAAGGACGGTGCCATTTCTGTTCAGACATCATCCAGGGTCACCATGTACTTCCTGCAATAGAATTCATACAGAAGATTTCCCCCCAGTAGTTGTGTCTTTGCCCCTCCCACAATGGTGATATTTCCTCCAGTAGTTTGTGTCTCTGCTCCTCCCACAATGGTGAGATTTCCTCCCAGTAGTTTGTGTCTCTGCTCCTCCCACAATGGTGAGATTTCCCCCCAGTAGTTTGTGTCTCTGCCCCTCCCACAATGGTGAGATTTCCTCCAGTAGTTGGTGTCTCTGCCCCTCCCACAATGGTGAGATTTCCCCCCAGTAGTTTGTGTCTCTGCTCCTCCCACAATGGTGAGATTTCCTCCAGTAGTTTGTGTCTCTGCCCCTCCCACAATGGTGAGATTTCCTCCAGTAGTTTGTGTCTCTGCCCCTCCCACAATGGTGAGATTTCCTCCAGTAGTTTGTGTCTCTGCCCCTCCCACAATGGTGAGATTTCCTCCAGTAGTTTGTGTCTTTGCCCCTCCCACAATGGTGAGTATTCCCCCAGTAGTTTGTGTCTCTGCCCCTCCCACAATGGTGAGATTTCCCCCAGTAGTTTGTGTCTCTGCCCCTCCCACAATGGTGAGATTTCCTCCGGTAGTTTGTGTCTCTGCCCCTCCCACAATGGTGAGTATTCCCCCAGTAGTTTGTGTGTCTGCCCCTCCCACAATGGTGAAATTTCCTCCAGTAGTTTGTGTCTCTGCCCCTCCCACAATGGTGAGTATTCCCCCAGTAGTTTGTGTCTCTGCCCCTCCCACAATGGTGAGATTTCCTCTAGTAGTTTGTGTCTCTGCCCCTCCCACAATGGCGAGAAGAAGAGCGTGATTCCAGGGTTGTATGCAAGATGGCTGCGATACCCCAGATGATCGTGTTTTATTGCAGTGTGATCGAACTGTAGCGCTACCCCCATAGGAGCCGCTGGTTGCCCGGTTAATTTCTAGTCGGTCTAGGGCCCCAGTCGCCCATAACTCTGGTTACGCCACTGCATGTTGTCACCCTATCATGTGCATCTTTGGTGGAGGCCGTACCAGCAAACAATAGGGCACAGTTCATAAAGCTGCATATTAATTAATGTGCAACCTGCATGCAAAAAAGGTTAGCACCGATCTTTGGGTCTGTGTTGTTGTCTCTCTATGGGTGGAACTTGATGGACTTTTTTTGCCCAACAGCCCAAAAAGGCCTCTCTTAACACTCCACCCGTGTCCCCAGCCGCACCACAACCAGCTCGAGGACACTTACTCCTTCTGGGTTCCCAAGGGGCCAGGCCCCCGCCCTTTACTATTCCGGACACCAACAGGGGGAAGCACCCATACCAGCTGAGGGCCCCCCATTTTTGTAATGAACTCCGATTTTGTAGACCCCCCAAAGACCCCCTAACCACCCCAGCTGCCCCGACAAACAAAAGCACCCCCCCCCA